CTCACGATCAAACCTAACCCGACCCCACACTCACGATCTAACCCACCCCGACCCCACACTCACGATCAACCCCAACTCGACCCAACACTCACGATCCAACCCATCAAACCCACCCCGACCCCACACTTACGATCAAACCTAACCCGACCGACACTCACGATCCAACCTAACCCGACCCCACACTCACGATCCAACCTCACCCCGACCCCACTCTCACGATCCAACCCACCCCGACCCCACACTCACGATCCAACCCACCCCGACCCCACACTCACGATCCAACCTACCCCGACTCCACACTCACGATCCAACCTAACCCGACCGACACTCACGATCCAACCTAACCCGACCCCACACTCACGATCCAACCTAACCCGACCCCACTCTCACAATCCAACCCACCCCGACCCCACACTCACGATCTAACCTAACCCGACCCCACACTCACGATCCAACCTAACCCGACCCCACTCTCACGATCCAACCCATCCCGACCCCACACTCACGATCAAACCTAAGGCGACCCCACACTCACTACCCAACCCACACCGACCCCCCACTCACGATCCAACCTAACCCGACCCCACACTCACGATCCAACCTAACCCGACCCCACTCTCACGATCCAACCCATCCCGACCCCACACTCACGATCAAACCTAACCCGACCCCACACTCACGATCCAACCTAACCCGACCCCACTCTCACGATCCAACCCACCCCGACCCCACACTCACGATCAAACCTAACCCGACCCCACACTCACGATCAAACCCACCCCGACCCCAAAACTCACGATCCAACCCACCCCGACCCCACACTCACGACCCAAGCCACTCCGACCCCACACTCATGATCAATCCCACCCGACCCCACACTCACGATCAAACCTAACCCGACCCCACACTCACAATCCAACCTAACCCGACCCCACACCCACGACCCCACCCACCCCGATCTCACACTCACAATCCACTCCGATCCTATACTCACGATACAACCCACTCCGACCCCACCCAGATCCCACACCCTCGATCCCCTTCTATCCCTATCCACACACACACACACACACACACACACACACACACACACACACACACACACACACACACACACACATACACACACATATCCCATCCACCAAATTCACCCCAGCTCGACCCATGAAGATCCGGGGTAGAATAGGTCTTCAGCAACCCATGCTTGCCGTAAAAGGCGACCATGCTTGTCGTAAGAGGCGACTAACGGGATCGGGTTGTCAGGCTCGCTGACATGGTTGATGCATGTCATCGTATTTCAATTGCGTGGATCGATGCTCATGATGTCAATCACTGGATTGTCTGGTCCAGACTCGAATATTTTCAGACCGCCGTCATATAGGTAGAATATTGCTGAGAGCGGCGTTAAACAACAAACAAACATCACATCACCCAGTTCCTTCCCAGTATCACTCATCCTGATCCCGCCCAGATCCCATCCCAACCCTAAACGACCATCGCCACATGTATGTCATACGCATTGCACACCCCCATTCTTAATTTTCATGCCATGTGCGTCTCTTCCAACGTAATATATGACGTGACGTTCTAATGCATGTTAACCCTTTAAGAGCCATGCTCGCCTATGTATTTGACACTGTGTTGCCTTGCGTTGACGTTCCAGACCGACCGCTTTAGGGGCAACAAGTGTGTGTGGTTGGAAATAAGGTCAGAGCGCCAACGCATGGGTACTTTTCCGACACAACTCATGTAAGAAACATTCTGCCAACAAGGGTTGGTGGTGTGTGTTTTTTATCGCCGCCTTGAACAGTATGTCTGTTCCGTCATAACGTGTCTGCTTGTGGGAGGAGAGCTCGAGTGAAGCAGGTCTCAGGCGTTTACCACTTTGAAGAAAGTTAACCCACGACCACGGGAATGGTGCTGACAAACCTTTGCGTTTGGGTTGATTCCAGTATGTTTCAAAGGTTTGTTTCCTGCGAGGATTCCAGAATACCACGGGCCCCTAGTACTCCATGCCTGTCTCCCCACGTGGATTCCTGAATAGAATGTGTCCCCAGTATCCCATGCTTGTCTCCCCACGTGGATTCCTGAATAGAATGTGTCCACAGGACCCCATGCCTGTCTCCCCACGTGGATTCCTGAATAGAATGTGTCCCCAGGACCCCATGCTTGTCTTCTTGTGTGGATTCCTGAATAGAATGTGTCCCCAGTAACCAATGCTTGTCTTCTTGTGTGAATTCCTGAATAGAATGTGTCCCCAGGACCCCATGCTTGTCTTCTTGTGTGGATTCCTGAATAGAATGTGTCCACAGTACCCCATGCCTGTCTCCCCACGTGGATTCCTGAATAGAATGTGTCCCCAGTACCCCATGCTTGCCTCCCCAGGTAAATTCCAGAGTAGAATTTGTCACCAGTACCCCATGCTTGTCATCTTGTGTAGAATCTCTGTATATAATTTGCCCCCAGTACCCCATGCTTGTCTTCTTGTGTGGATTCCTGAATAGAATGTGTCCCCAGTAACCAATGCTTGTCTTCTTGTGTGAATTCCTGAATAGAATGTGTCCCCAGGACCCCATGCTTGTCTTCTTGTGTGGATTCCTGAATAGAATGTGTCCACAGTACCCCATGCCTGTCTCCCCACGTGGATTCCTGAATAGAATGTGTCCCCAGTACCCCATGCTTGCCTCCCCAGGTAAATTCCAGAGTAGAATTTGTCACCAGTACCCCATGCTTGTCATCTTGTGTAGAATCTCTGTATATAATTTGCCCCCAGTACCCCATGCTTGTCTTCTTGTGTGGATTCCTGAATAGAATGTGTACCCAGTACCCCATGTTTGTCTTCTTGTGTAGATTCCTGTATAGAATTTGTCCCCAGTACCCCATGCTTGTCTTCCTGTGTAGATTCCTGAATAGAATGTGTCCCCAGTACCCCATGCTTGTCTTCTTGTGTAGATTCCAGAGTTGAATATGGTCTCGGTATCTCATGCCTGTCTTCTTGTGTAGATTCCTGAATAGAATTTGTCCCCAGTACCCCATGCTTGTCTTCTTGTGTAGATTCCAGAGTTGAATATGTCCCCGGTATCTCATGCCTGTCTTCTTGTGTGGATTCAAGAGCAGAATGTGTCCCAAATACCCTCTGCTTGTCTCCCCCACGTAGATTCCTGGACAATCTGGTCGAACAGGTCTTCATTGTATGTAATGATTAGCCGTTTTAAATATGATGATCTGGTCGAACAGGGCTTTATTGTACATCATGATTAGGAATTTTAAATAGGACGGTCTGGTCGAACAGGGGATTATTGTACATAATAATTAGGAGTTTTAAATAGGACGATCTGGTCGAACAGGGGATTATTGTACATAATGATTAGGAATTTTAAATGGGACGATCTGGTCGAACAGGGCTTCATTGTACATAATGATTAGGAGTTTTAAATAGGACGATCTGGTCGAACAGGGGATTATTGTACATAATGATTAGGAATTTTAAATGGGATGATCTGGTCGAACAGGGCTTCCTTGTACATAATGATTAGGAATTTTAAATAGGACGATCTGGTCGAACAGGGGATTATTGTACATAAAGATTTAATTTAGGAATTTTAAATGGGACGATCTGGTCGAACAGGGCTTCATTGTACATAATGATTAGGAGTTTTAAATAGGACGATCTGGTCGAACAGGGGATTATTGTACATAATGATTAGGAATTTTAAATAAGACGATCTGGTCGAACAGGGCTTCATTGTACATAATGATTAGAAGTTTTAAATAGGACGATCTGGTCGAACAGGGCTTCATTGTACATAATGATTAGAAGTTTTAAATAGGACGATCTGGTCGAACAGGGGATTATTGTACATAATGATAAGGAGTTTTAAATAAGACGATCTGGTCGGACAGGGCTTCCTTGTACATCATGTTTAGGAGTTTTAAATAGGACGATCTGGTCGAACAGGGGATTATTGTACATCATGATTAGGAGTTTTAAATAGGACGATCTGGTCGAACAGGGGATTATTGTACATAATGATTAGGAGTTTTAAATAAGACGATCTGGTCGGACAGGGCTTCATTGTACAAAATGATTAGGAGTTTTAAATAGGACGATCTGGTCGAACAGGGGATTATTGTACATCATGATTAGGAGTTTTAAATAGGACGATCTGGTCGAACAGGGGATTATTGTACATAATGATTAGGAGTTTTAAATAAGACGATCTGGTCGGACAGGGCTTCCTTGTACAAAATGATTAGGAGTTTTAAATAGGACGATCTGGTCGAACAGGGCTTCCTTGTACAAAATGTTCAGGAGTTTTAAATAGGGCGGTCTGGTCTACGGCCGCTGTACACACACGCATTAAGGTGACTTCTTATCACAAACATTAATGAATACAATTGGTCTTAGCATTCTGTCTCCGCGTCCTTCATGTTACATGGACAGCCAGGACCATTGATTTTCCATTCAGTTCATGCGAAACCGTATTTGTTCCAAGTCTATTGTAGCAGTATAATTAGTAGCAGAAGTAGGGATAGTAGTAGTAAAACGAGTAGGACTAGGAATTTAGTAGTAGTAGTAGTGGTAGTTGTGGTAGTAGTAGTAGTATAGTAGAAGTAGTAGTAGTTGTTGTAGTAGTAGTAGTAGTAGTAGTGGTAGTAGTAGTAGTAGAAGTTGTTGTTGTCGTGGTATTTATTGTTGTAGTATTTGAAGCAGCAGTAGTGGTAGTAGTAGTAGTGGTAGTAGAAGTAGTGGTAGTAGTAGTAGCCATCAACATCATCACAATTGTTGTGGCCATCATTGTAACACATCACAACCACAGGTCCCGGTGTTCTCATGCCAAGATCGCCCTTCGTGCAAACATTGCTCATGACACAAAAACAAACACATCAACACCCACCCACCCCTCCCACCTTCACAATTACTTAAATTAGTAGGTCTAACTATTAAACGCGAGGATTTCATCATCAGGGGCATTTAGCCGAGTATCGTCACATGAAAACTAAATTGTCAAGATCAAGCCGTGACCACGTGACACGCATATGGTATAGGCAGCTCCCGTCTGCCAGGAACCGCAATGCTATATATTAAGCCGAGGAGCATCACCACTCAGCACAGAGAAAGCTCGCTACGAGAGACAAGGCTTTTCACTTAAAGACAGGTAAGACCTGCATGGCTGTTATAAAAGTATGAAAACTGAACATGTGTACATGGAAAAATACCGCAACAATTAATTAATTGTGTTTCTTGTTTGTTCATTTGTTTTCGATTCTAACTTTCGTGATGTAGTAACCTCGGAAGTAATATATATTTGTTTGAACTTGTTTTTCATGTTTCATGTTTCATAATGTAATTTGTATTGCTGATTGGGTTGAGTCGGTATTCAATCGATGTGATTGTTCATGAGTTCTGATACAGGTGAATTATTGATGATGGTGTTGGAAACGGTGTATATTCATCAGTCGACGTGTATCTGCTGTGTTAAATACATTTTCGTTTTCAATTAATGTACGGTTATGATTTAAATAGTGGATGCAGCCACTACCCTCCCGATGAACATATGTCTACTACTAAAACACAACTGTACATTGCAGCCACCAATTACTGGGTATCTGTAACATCGTGAGGGTACCGACACGACCGCAAGAGATTTATCAATAGGTACAAGGTTTCAATAGTAGCCAATAGGTACAAGGTTTCAATAGTAGCCAATAGGCACAATGTTTCAATAGTAGCCAATAGGCACAAGGTTTCAATAGTAGCCAATAGGCACAATGTTTCAATAGTAGCCAATAGGTACAAGGTTTCAATAGTAGCCAATAGGCACAAGGTTTCAATAGTAGCCAATAGGCACAATGTTTCAATGGTAGCCAATAGGTGCAAGGTTACAACACTTGGCCAATAGGCACACGGTTACAGTAGAAGCCGCTGAGAGAAAGGTTACAGTTGTAGGGGATGGGAGCAAGGTTACTATGGTAGTTGATTGGAGCAAGGTTGCAGTAGTAACAGATGGGAGCAAGGTAAAAGTAGTAGCAGATGGGAGCAAGGTAAAAGTAGTAGCAGATGGGAGCAAGGTAACAGTAGTAGGGGATGGGAGCAAGGTTACAGTAGTAGGGGATGGGAGCAAGGTTACAGTAGTAACAGATGGGAGCAAGGTTACAGTAGTAATAGATGGGAGCAAGGTTGCAGTAGTAACAGATGGGAGCAAGGTTACAGTAGCAGGGGATGGGAGCAATGTTACAGTAGTAGGGGATTGGAGCAAGGTTACAGTAGCAGGGGATGGGAGCAAGGTTACAGTAGTAACAGATGGGAGCAAGGTTACAGTAGTAAAGGATGGGAGCAAGGTTACAGTAGTAACAGATGAGAGCAAGGTTCCAGGAGTAGGGGATGGGAGCAAGGTTACAGTAGTAACAGATGGGAGCAAGGTTACAGTAGTAACAGATGAGAGCAAGGTTCCAGGAGTAGGGGATGGGAGCAAGGTTACAGTAGTAGCAGATGGGAGCAAGGTTACAGTAGTCACAGATGGGAGCAAGGTAAAAGTAGTAGCAGATGGGAGCAAGGTTACAGTAGTAGGGGATGGGAGCAAGGGTTCAGTAGTAACAGATGTGAGCAAGGCTACATTAGTAACAGATGGGAGCAAGGTTACAGTAGTAGCAGATGGGAGCAAGATTACAGCAGTAACAGATGGGAGCAAGGTTACAGTAGTAACAGATGGGAGCAAGGTTACAGCAGTGACAGATGGGAGCAAGGTTACAGTAGTAAGGGATGGGAGCAAGATTACAACAGTAACAGATCTCTCTCTTTTTCTCTCTCTCTCTCCCTCTCTCTCTCTCTCTCTCTCTCTCTCTCTCTCTCTCTCTCTCTCTCTCCCTCTCCCCCTCTCTCTACCTATTATTCCTCACCTTCCACCCTTTCTCATTCAGTACCCCCCATTTAGTCAAATAACCCGCTTCGACATCAGCAGCAATATGAGATTGCAGGTGCCGCAGTGCAAGTAATATGCTTAACCTCAGGGTTGATTACTACTTAGTCGCCGACACAAGTAATTAAGTCACTCACAGTAATCTCCTCGTTCGCGTAACACTGATATATTAGTCGGAGAATGACATTTAAGGTGTGTTTAAGAACATAGACTCGGCAATATAATCAGCTCTCTGTTACATGAACCACGTGCATTATTTGCTGTTAACGCCGTTGAATGTGGTCCAGGGCCTTCATACACAAGCCACTTCAGCACTGCGACAAGCGTAAGCTAGGGTGTGGAAGCTGTATGCACCAGTTGCCCGACTCGTGACATGAGATCTTCGGACAACAAAACCATCAGCTTCAGTTGCCCGCAAACAAGCTTTCTGATTGGCTGTTAGAGTCCCATGATGCCAACTGTAGCGAGTGAGTGATTAATTGTGGTTTTACGGCGCTTTTAGCAATATTCCAGCAACTACCGGAAATACGCTTCACACATTGTACCCATTTTGGGAAGCGAACCCGGGTCTTTGACGTGATGAGCGAACGCTTCAACCACTAGACAACCTCACTGCGAACTGTATTGAAAGGCGTCATCGCAGTTGTGGCACGAAAATTGGCAGCGGTATACATTTACATATTATTGTTTGCGATTATAACACGAACCTCATTTTTAAGCCAGTTTATTATAACACGACTGTTACTTTTTAAGACAGATTATTTTCTGTGCTTAACAACAATTATGACTATTCATATTGAATTGAAGTGAAATGGAAAAAGAAACAATTTGAATATCATAAAAGGTTCACGACTGTAGCCAGGTGTTGCGTCACTCGATAGTGAAATGTAGGTAGGAGTTCCACTACGGTTGCTGCCAATGCTGGCTCCAGGTGCCTTTGGACTGGGGCGAGTCTGAAGATGTAGACCCGTAAAGATCCGGGTAGAATAGGTCTTCAGCAACCCATGCTTGCCGTAAAAGGCGACTATGCTTGTCGTAAAAGGTGACTGACGGGATCGGGTGGTCAGGATCGCTGACTTGGTTGATGCATGTCATCGATCCCAATTGCGTGGATTAATGCTCATGATGTCAGTCACTGGGATGTCTGGTCCAGACTTAATTATTTACTTACCGCCGTCATATATCTGGAATATTGCTGATTGCGGCGTTAAACAACAAACCAACCAACCAACTGAAGGTGTCGTGTTCAGAACTTATCATACCGGTAAGTTCTGACGTCGGTTGAAACCAATCGATCGTCATCGGTCCGATTCCATACTGCGTAAAGCCCATTTTTGGTGGCCCTCGATATGATTATTTTGGAGGACTACCTGCCACGTTCACAGTTAATTGAACGTATCAGTGTGTTCCAATCTTGAATATTTAAACCCCAGGTCCGCTGCGCTTAGCCGACTTTACTTTTAGCTGAGTTCAAACACGGCTGCCGTGTTATACGAATTGTATGCGGCGGGATTTGGCGTGACACGGCTTACAGTGAAAACATGCAACATCACTGCTCCACATTGTCCGATGTATTGTGAAGGGAACGGGAAAAGGCTTAATTGACCCGAGTGCTTCAGGACTGAATATCTAGGCCACGGCGTATGTAAAACTGCCGCCTCGATCTATGAAGGTTCATACTCCAATGAACTCACACAAAGTGAAAGTCAGTTCTTAAATAAATATAATATATATTGTTTTTTATTAGAGTCATGAAAGGGTTATAGATATGAGTTATAGATCTTGGCTGATACACGTCCTTAAATGGCCGCCATCAATTGTGTGTAACGCTCATTCTAAAGTCAAAATTTGGTAATTTCCTGTATGTGTGTAATTACAATATACATCTATATTATTTTCTTTTTTAAGTCTTTTTAAAACTAACGGTGTCTTTAGTCTCTGCGAGAGCCGGTACGAATTCGAAACAAAATGTTCAGGGTATCTTTTTACACTATTATGAAGTATAATATTTTTATATCAACCCTCATCGTACACAGAACTTGTATTGTATTTCAAGCCGCTTGTTGGAGCATAGGAAGTGATATTTCATTGTGCTATCAACAAAGGCATCCGGGTAAAAAGATATTGTATATGATAAGTTAAAATAGGATACTAAATTTTCCTTGGGGGAATACTAGAAATAATAGTAATTTGAGGAATATTAAGAATATTAGGTTTTAGGATGAGCAACATCATCCCGTTAGTTGATGATCCAGGAGGGTTAACTTGGTAATGAGGATGGACGTATGTGTCGGAAGGGGGGGGGGGGAGCTAGTGGGTGAAATTGTATGTGGGCAGGTACTTGGAACGTGCTTGACACTGGATTTGAATGCTGTTGCTACCACTGAAGAAGAGAGACCCGTGAAGATCCGGGTTAGAATAGGCCTTCAGCAACCCATGCTTGCTGTAAAAGGTGACTATGCCCGTTGTAAGAGGCGACTAACGGGATCGGCTGTGTCTACGTGTGCATGTGCGTGTGTCTCTGTGTGTGTCTGTGTGTGCGTGTGTTTTACTTTCTGACACTGTATGTCTGTGTCTGCGTGTGCATGTACACATGTCTGAGTGTGTGTATACGTATGTCAATGTGAATGTGTGTGTGTTTCTGTCTGTGAGTGGGTGTGTGTTGTTGCGTGCGTGCGTGTGTGTGTTCTTGCGTGTGCGTGCGTGTGTGCGTGCGTTCGGTATACTGAGGATAACATGTCACAACACGTATCCCTACACACATTTTGTGAAAAGTTTGAACAGAACTCACACGACTATTACACGCACATTACTGCGCTGGTCATTTCATGCAACTAGACGTGATACCTTGTGACGTGTGGCTAAACTTAACTCCGTTTCCATAAGATGTATGAATAGTGTAATCCCACACTTCAGCCAGGATCTTGACCTAACACTACCGTAGACATGATTGTGACCTTGATATGACCACGCCAATATCAGGTGTAATGTTGGTTCGTAAACTGTGGGGACTCGAACCCCTTCAAGTCTTCCGGCAGTTTCGGTACAATGTGTGAATCCCCCGCCGTGATTGTGCTGGAATATTGCTAAAAGCGGCGAACGCCATCCTCATTATCCATCCAGCTATATGACGGGGGCCTAGAAATAATCCAGGTATGACCAGACAATCATGTCAATAATATAGTGAGCAACTATCCACGCAATCAACCAAGTCCCCAAGCCTAAAGTCCCCTCTTACG